TTCCGATTCATGCAATCGATCGCACTCGGCCGAATAACGGGGATAACCATGTGGATCACCCTGTGCTGGTCGTTGGCATAGTGTCAAAAAATCATTTAAAAATGTCCGTCGATGGCGGGGCTAGCCATAGCCTCTTCAACTTGGCGACAGCAAAAAAATGCAAGCTGCAAATTGATAGGTGTCTGCCCGAAATCGACGCTCGCCTCGTGGATGTGAGGCCCCTGGCGATTTTGGAAGAAATACGAACGGTGCAGATCGAATGCGGCGACGATTTCGGCTTCAGCATGAAGTTTCTCGCGACGACGCTGGACGGCTGCGACGTGCTGCTGGGACGTGATTGGCTGCAAAATCACAACCCCATCATCGATTGGACAACGGGATCGTGCAGCATCAGCAAGCACGAGGGGCTAAATAAACTGGCTGCATGGACACCTGATTACATCCAATCCCTGTGCGTCAAGGCCATCACTATTGCTCGCCACTTCAACCGAGGCGCGCAGCTGTTCGCCGTATGCTTGCGCGAGTTGGCAGCCGACACCGACGAGAAAGACATCGAAAAGCTGTGCGCAGCTGTACCACCTGATTTAGCGGAGCCAATTCGACAGTACCCGGACATCTTCCCCGACGATATGCCACCGAGACTGCCACCCGAGAGACTTGAGGACCACAAAATCCAACTGGAACCTGGCGCGCAGCCGACTGTTCGGACACAGTGGCGGTTGACCCAGCCGGAACTCGAGGAGCTGCGGGTGACAACAAATTGACGCACTATTGGAGACAGGGTTCATCAGGCTCAGCACATCTCCCTTCGCAGCGCCGATCCTGTTCACACCGAAAAAAGACGGCGGGCTTCGCATGTGCATCGACTATCGCGCGCTCAACCGGGTGACAATCAAGTGTCGCTACCCAATCCCATGCACCAACGACCTCCTCGACCAACTTTGCGGTGCTCGCTATTTTTTGAAAATCGACTTGCATGGCGGTTACCACCAGATTCAGGTCTTCGCCGACGACTATCACAAGACTGCATTTCGCACCCGCTACGGAAGCTACGAGTGCACTGTGATGCCGTTCGACCTCACAAACGCGCCTTCGACTTTCCAGTTGACCATGAACAGGGTTTTCCGAGATCTTCTCGACAAGTGCCTTATCGTCTACTTGGACGATATCCTGATATTTAGCAGAACATGGGAACGACACCTCCGCGACCTCGACGCAGTGTTTAAGCGGTTGCAGGAAAACCGTCTCATCATCATGGGCTCTAAGTGCGAGTTTTTTAAGCAGGAGTTGGAGTTTTTGGGGCACGTCATCTCACGCGACAACATTATAATTGACCCGGCAAAAATCAAGACTATTCAGGAGTGGAGTCTCCGACTAACATAACGGAACTTCAGAGTTTCCTTGGGTTCGTGAATTACGTCAGACGGTTTATCCCGAATATGACGGGAATAACCGGCCCGCTCACCGACCTGCTGCACAAGGACAGATATTTTCTCGTTGAAGCTGAGGCAGCTTTTCAGGAGTTGAAGAGTTTTCTCGTTTCCCCTCCGGTTTTGCGCCTCGCCAACCCATCGAAGCCGTTCGAAGTCATCACCGACGCCTCAGATTTCGCCATTGGAGCTTTGCTTTTCCAGGATTTTGGGAAGGGACTGCAGCCGATCGCCTTTGAGTCACGCAAGCTGCAGTCAGCCAAGTGCAACCTCCGGATACATGACAAGGAGAAGCTCCTCATTATACACGCGTTCAAACTATGACGCTGCTACCTGGTGGGCGCCGACGTCACTGTTCGCACGGACCTTCAAGTCCCTACAATACCTGCGAGCTCAGCCCAACCTCAACTCGTGACAGATTCGGTAGCTGGACTACATGGAAAGCCACTTTACCTACCGCATCACGTACAAGAAGGGGGCGAATAACATCGCCGATGCCTTGACCCGACCAACAGTTCAATCCGCTGCAGTACTCATCACCCACTCAAACCCACTACCTACGGGACTATTCACCCACGGCTACACTACGGACCCGTTCTTCACGACTGGAAATCACCACCAGGTGACGACGCAGAAGGGGAACTATTACCTAAAGGCCGGAACTGACCGGATTTGGGTTCCCGCTTACCGGCTGCTGCGTGAACTCCTTATCCAGGAGGTCCACGATTCTAATCTCTCCAGACATTTCGGGGTTGATAAAACCCAGAAGCTGTTGCACCGTCAATATTACTGGCCTGATTCTTCTAACGACGTGCAGCGATATGTGCTCTTATGCAGGGTGTGCCAAACCATGAAATCGACACGTCAGCGGCCAGCTGGTTGCTACAACCCCTCGAGCCACCCAAACGAGCGTGGCAACAGGTGACGATGGACTTCGTCACGGGGCTGCCAGCTGGGCCGTCCGGCAACGACGCTGTCCTGGCTCGTTGTCGTCGATCGCCTAACGAAAATGGCGCACTCCACACCATGTCGGACAAGAATCACAGCCGAATAAACTACGCGCCTCTTCATCTCGACGGTCGTGCGGCTGCACGGAATCCCCTCGGCGATCATTAGCGACAAGGATCAGAAGTTCACGTTAAAGTTTTGGAAGGAAACGTGGGCGCAGTACGGCACGAATCTACAGTTCTCATCAGCATACCGCCCGGAAACGGACGGCCACACCGAGCGGACCAATCAGACGATGGAGCAGCTGATCAGGACAAACTGCCCCGACCCCGCTCGCTGGAAAACTTCGCTCGCCATGCTGGAGTTCGCGTTCAACAACGCCCCGTCCAGCACGACTAATCACTCCCCGTTCTTCTTGAATTACGGGATGGACCCGGTGGTGCCTATAACGACTACACTCGACAACTTGGTACCATGGTCACAAAAATTTGTGACAGAACTCCAAGAGATCCGCGAGAAGGCAGCCCACGCAATTCGCAAGGCTAATTCTATTGCCCGAAAATACACAGATCTCCTGCGACGGGAAATCATTATGACGGCCGGGCAACTAGTGCTGCTGGACACGAAAAATCAACGCCTACCCGGCACATCGAAGCTACGACCACGATTTTGTGGGCCCTTCAGGACCATACATATGGTCACACCTGTCACCGCGAAGCTTCTGCTATCCGACGATTGACGTATCCATGGCGCCTTCCACGTCAGTCTCCTTCGCAAGTTCGTGTCTGCCGCGACCGACATCGCGCGTCAGAATGCCGCACCGACAGCTCGACCTGTCCCGGAACCGACACTCGACCCGTCCAAGATATTGGTGCATCGTGTTCGGCTCGACGCCGCTGGCCGCCACGTGGACTTTTTAGTCCGTTGGACCGACCGCACCAGTGAAGACGAAAGTTGGGTGCCATCCGCCTCGCTACACGCATCCCCGCTCGTTGGTGATTATCTCACACACATGCGAGTTGCGGATATTGACCACCTTTCTTAAGGGGGGGGGGGGGGGGGTAGTGTAAGAAATTTTCGCTATTCCTTACCGGGTTTGATTGCTACGCGTACAACCCCGACATTTCGGACTTCGCACATTCGGCCTAAATTTTTGATGCCAAGGCTGCACCCAAACCTGCACCCAACCTCGTTTTCCCGAGGTTCCCTCCTAGCTAGGGTAGTCACTATATAGTCGCGTGCCTTCATTGTATTGTCAATTCATTGAGTCACATCTTCGCTATTCGTTATTCCGCGCACTCTCTTTTACAACTCATAACAATTTGCTTGGTAAAGCTCCAATATAAGAATAGCTCATTTCAAGTACAAACCTCCCCAACTGTTTTACCTTTTCGATATAGAAGGTAGTACGGTCTTAACGAGTTTGACGCGCCCGCAACATGAAATGCTGCAACCCAAATCAGCGGGCAAGGTTTCCTCCTCCGTGAAGTGGTGAAAAGCAGCGGGTTGGCGGATTTTGCAACAAGTAGACATCCTCTATGTCATTGCTGCCAGGCTCACGTGAATTGCTGCCCAATTAGCTGTGTGTGTGCCATTTTGGCCACCGTGGTCGATTGGTGCGTTTTTTTCTGAAGCCCATAAAAATGCGATTTGAAATATCTTTTGGGCCAGCCGCAAGAATAGCCTGGATCTCACGGTATCCAAGTTTTGTTGTCACAAAACCGTTTGTGTACACGTTATTGCCAGTTCTACCCAGTCGTCCCTCTCCACTCCTTCGAGAGGGACTGCATCCAGTGGTGATTCGACTTCGTGAACGTCGGCAATGTTTCAGATACTGTACCCCTGTTTCTATGTGGTGCTGGTGCAAGAACTTCGCTGAAAGACAAGCATTCTCACAACTGGTGTTGTTTTCTCGATGTGTCATTTGGAGCGAATGGAGAAAGGTCACACGCCACTGCAGTCACGGGCGGGGTGGGTGGCCACAGATGAGATGAGATCGATGGATCAAGTCGCAGTGCGATGCGCCGCACGGCGGCGCTGACAGGAATGGATCAATCACGTGATGCGCTAGAAAGGTGCAACATTTGCTTCCCTCCACTTCATGCATTCCTTCCCTTCCCTTCCGCTGCTTGCCTCCATCACTCCAGTAGCTTCGTCTCTTCACCTCCTCTGCCGCACCCTTTCTCCACAATCCAATGCCTATCTTCACTGCAGGCCCCGCCAGACCTGGAGCAGAGCATGACTCTTGTAGCGGAACCAGCAAATCGTCATCTTCTGAAGCCATCAAAAGTTCATTGTTCTTTCAAGTGCGAATCCACATAACAATAAGTAGACGTAGCAGACCTGCGCGTCGTTCGGCACATGGTAGAGCTTTCTGGAGTCAATGGCTGTCTCAGAAACTCAGAGTGATTTCGCCGTGCACCTCCTCATTCCTCGCGCCAGTCTTGTCCGTCACAGATGGTAGCTGCGATTCTCCACGTTGTACGATGTAAATAATGCGAGTCTCCATCTCCTTCCCACATTCTACTCCCATGTCTCCCGCTCTCGCGAGCGATATCTTCTATCCATGGGCCGGATCAGAAATAGCTCTTTTTTTGAAGTCGCGTTGTTAGAACGCCTCTCATGTCGCCTACTCGTCGCACTCTCGCGTCCAATAAGCAGGCAGCAGCGGCAGACGAGCCGCGCGCGCCGCCCCAGGGTCTCTCATATCAGGATCAGTTGGAATTCTCGAGGTTTTTCCCCGCGCTCGTCGGAGGCGGAATAAGCTCAGCTGCAATTGCGGCGGGCGAAGCGGTAAACTTTCCTGCTATGGCATCGGCGGCGGCACTACGCGCACATCGCCCCATGACCAACCCGAGTTATTTGTGCGACTCGGGAACCGACGTGGCAAGTCTGAATTCGGAGACTCTCGCCTTCCTCCTCGCGAATCCCGCCGCTGCTTTGGCGACACTGTCGCACACGTCGCCCGCCACGAGAAATTTGTCGCACACTGTGCATTTCGGCGGCGCGACTCCATCGACAGGGGCCAGTCAGGAAGCGGTGCGGCACGCTTCGCTCGCAGCAGCGCAATCGTTTCCTCACTCGGACGCATGGCTCTCGCAACGCACCGCAATCAACGGCAGAGCTAGCGGCGCGATTAGCGGCGTTCGGATGGCCTCTTCCACTTCCGACAGCATCGCCGCAGCGGCGTCAGCGTTAAATCACAACTCCTGGCGAGCCGTTGACGGCGTTGACCAGCGCGCCGTTGACTGGGCGAGCTGCGACGTGCCTGCGTTGTCGCACCTGCTGCTGCTAGAGCAGATGCGACAGATGCGACAGATGGAACAGACGGAGCAGTTAAGCAAGGCCGCGGCCGACTCCGCAAGACGCGGCGAAATAACTGGCGGCAGCAGCGAGCGCGCAGATTACAGCGGCGGCGTAGTCGGGGGTATTGCCGGCGGCGGGAATACGGAGCGCTCATGGGAGATGAGTGGGGGCGGAGCGGGGCCCGCGGCGGGTGCGTCGAATGATCCAACGGCGGCGGACGCCGCTTTTCTTTCGCAGCTCCGCAGCGCGCACGACTCGCTCCCCCGCCCCTCATTCCAATCGCCCACCGCCTCGCATGTTAAGACCCCCGCATCTGGCGGCGACGCATGTTGGGAGGCGTCCGGGACTCCGGGTCGCGGTTTTAGGGAGCCTCAAAGGCTGCGCGCACCAGGCGGCGGGAGTTGCGGGCTACAGTTGGCCGTCGCGGAGCAGCTAGATCAGCTGCAGCGGGAGGAGCGCCGCGATGAGTTCGCTCGGGGGGAAGCGCGAGATAACGATCTGGGAACGCGGGGCGGTGCGAGGGGAAAGCAGCGGGCACCCGGGCGATACGACCAACGGTTTGAGAAGGCGGTAGGAACTGAAGACACGTGTCCTCCACACGCGAGGCCGTCGCCTCTGCTATCTCTCGCACCCGACTTCCGCGATTCCAGCGCGGGCGGCAGGGAAGGCGGGGAGACTGTCGACGGCCGCAGCACGGACTCGCTTGCGGCCGACCTTGGTTTAGCGTCACAACAGCTTGTAGATGGTGTCGCGATAAGCAATAGCGGGGATGCGAGCGGGAGCAAGGGGCAGCAGAATTTGTGGAGTCCGAGCAACACGCAAAGTCGCAGCGGAAACGACTGGGGCTTCGGAGGCAGGGAGGAGAGGAGCAGGAGCGGCGGGGCCATGGCGCCTCCCACGCGCCCCGCGTCGGCCGCCATTACCAGCGCCAACGCCCGCGTTGCTGGCGGAGCTGCCGCTGGCGGAGCTGCGGCCGTTGCTGGCGCATCCCCGGGCGGCGATGATGTGTCTCGCGCAGGCGACAGCGCACACTTGGACCCGCACGGGGCAGCACCCGCTGGGCAGCTGCCACGTGGCAGCAGGTCCAAGAGCGTTGGTCAGATGCAGGCGGCTCGGATTCTGCAGGCGCTGGAGCACGGCGCGCGGGAGAGAGTGAAGCGGCGGCGCACGCAGCAGAAGCACCTGGCGCATCTGCAGCTGCAGCAGCAGCAGGAGCAGCAGCAACAGGAGCAGCAGCAGCAGCAGCAGGAGCAGCAGGCACAAGGAGAACAGCAGCAGGGTGGTCTTTCTGGCTTTGCGACGCTGACCTCTCCCCTCTCTGTCTCCTCCACTCCCCTTCGTGGACCCACTGCTGCTTCCTTACACACTCCCGCGCACGCAGCACCGCACGCAGCGCATTTCCCCTCGGTTCCCATGGCATGGGGCCACGTCCTCCCTGCACCTGACGCGGAGGCGCGGGGAGGCGCGCAGGGGCGCAGCGAGGGCGAGACGGAGCGGTGGCGGCGGGAGCAGGAGCGGATGGCGTTTGATTGGAGCGAGAAGGGTCCGCGGAGCCACAGCGAGGCGGAGAAGCGCAGGCGCGAGCGCATCAACCAGCAGCTGAACGTGCTGCGCGCGCTGCTGCCAGGCGCGAGCATGGGGAAGGCGGACAAGGCGAGCGTGCTGGCGGAAGCAGTGGCGCAGCTGCGGGCGTTGAAGGCAGGATTTGGGAAAAGTTGCGGGGAGGGGGGAGAGGGGGAGGATGAGCGGGAGGAAGGGCAGCTGAGGCCGGGAGAGCAGGAGGGAGTGGAAGTGGAGGCAGGGGAGGGACAGGGAGCCAAGGAAGGGGGCGAGAAGCAGGGAGCAGAGAGATCAGTGAAAGCAGAAGGAGCAGGAGGAGTAGCAGCAACAGTAGGAGCAGCAGCAACAGTAGGAGTAGCAGCAGGGATGGTTGGTTCCAGTCTGTTGGCATGTGACAGGGTGCCTGAAGCCATTCCCAGGGAGGACGACGCGGTGGAGGTAGATCTGGTGTGGGCGCATGTGGCGGAGCAGGAGGAGAGGGGGGATGAGGTGGGGGAGGAGGTGGGGGAGGAGCAGGAGGAGGAGCAGGGAGAGATGGGCCGGGGAAGCAGAGAGGGGCTGACGGGACGCAAGAGGAGGCGAGGGAGTGAGGGGGTGAGGGCGGTGTGTGTGTGCATTTGGTGCGAGGACAGGGATGGTCTGCTGCCTGCCATCGAGGCGGCTTTAAAGGTAGGACTAACACCATGCATGAATTAAATCAAAGGTTATGCATGGATTAGACACCCTCATAGTCCATGTTCTTTGCCATGCTGGTCTTCCCTCGCATTCCGTCTCACCTCATCTTGTCGCACCCATTCACGCTGGGCCTCTTTTTCTCCCCTCCCCTTGCTGCGTCCACAGCCCTTCCCTCTCCGCATCTCCAGCCTCGAGTCTGCCTCCTGTGCTTCACGTGTCGCCCACGTGCTGCTGCTGCATGCCTGTCCTCCTCTGACAGCTGGAACCGCTGACATCGACCCTGGTGCATCCCTCCCGTCTACTCCCGTTGCTCCTGACTACAAGCCAGCATTGGCTGCTCGCCCTCTTGGTGCTGCTTCTGCTGCTGCATTTGGTGCTCCAGGCCCATCAGCAGTTGCAGCAGCTGAACAGGAGCAGCAACACGAGGGAGTGGGAAGACCAGGGGCAGAGGTGTACGAGTGCAGGGAGGATGCTTCACAGGCAATAATAGCAAGTGGGGAAGGTGGGATGGCTCAGTACGTGCGTGAGGTGCGGGCAGTGGTGGTGGATGTGATGGCGCGGTGGAGGCGAGGGGAACTGGTCAGTGGCGGTGTGTGGGAGGATGTTGGTTATTGATTGATCTTCAAGAAAGAGGGTGGGTCAGTTTCCAGGGAGGGATGGCGCAGCAAAGAAGGCTGGCGGGGTGAAAGCAACCAGCCAGGTCTACCAGAAGATACAGGGAATGGTCCCGAGAGCAATTGGCTACCCTTCAATTCATTTATTATTGGTTCATTCGTTCATACACGCCACAGCATATTGTAGCTGCGGTGCATCATCTTGCCTTCGTTTATTATTTCGTTTGCTAATTTGTTTATTTATTTCAATATTAATTCATGCTTTGATGAGATGTATCTTGATTGCTTCAAATTTCGGTACATAGAAAAATCACTGGTGGTCAGCATTACAGCACTGGCAATACAACTGGTCCACATCCATCAGATCAACCATGCCCAACATGTACTGGAGCAGCTACAGCAGAAGTTTTAACTGAAGATCCAAATCCACCGTAAAGTGTAGCTCAAGTGCTGAGAAACTTCTGCCACCAGAATGCTGAAGCCTTGGGGTATCTAGGAAGGTCAGGGTTAGCAAAGTCAACAAAGACAATGCCGAATCTCTCCAAGAAGCCACGAGCCCATTCCCAGTTGTCTAGAAGGGACCACGCATAGTACCCCTGGACGTTTGCTCCATCCCTGCAGTAATGACACGGGAAATGTCTCAGCATGACAGGCTCAATGAAGGGACATGAACCTATGGGGAGTACAACAGATCCCCTACTTCTTGGCCTTCAGCGCGTTGGTGAGGTAGTCCCTGTAGAAGTTAAGGCGCTGATCGTCACAAAGTGCAGCCTCAAGCGGAATGTTAGGGTCATTGACATCACTCGACCCTGAAGCACAAGCACATCATCAGTGAAAGATTCGATACATACTAATATGAACCAAAAGACTCATCCAACTGATCCATACCGTTTTCAGTAATCATGATAGGGAAGCTATTGTAGCGCCCCGTGATCCACATCAACATTCCATACATGCCTTCTGGGACCACCTTCAGCCAAGATGAGCCAGTCTGTGGAAACAGGCAAAGGAGTGATGTTAAGATGACAGTGGTGTTAGAAAGAGTGTGATGTTCAAAGACAAATGCTGATTATAGCATGGGCGGAAGAAACAGATGCAATGTCAGCTTACTGATGCACCAATCACTTGACCAGTCAGCGGGTTGGTGCTTGACGTCCCCACTTGGCTGTCACTCCATGCGGTTCCAGGGGCGCTGGCAGACCCTTGCCAGACATACAGAGCAGTGTAGAAGTTGAGCCCAAAGAAGTCTGCGGAACCAATAAGCTGCTGCCTCTCCGCAGCTGAGAATTGAGGCAGACGGTCACCAACAAGAGTTCGCATGGACTCTGGGTAGTCTCCAAAGTAAACTGGGTCAGCGAACCTGAAGTCATAAAGTTTGTTAGCCCAACCCTGCACAGACTGAGATGCTTGGATGGATGTAAGAAAGCCTACCATCCGTATGAGAATTCAAGAGCTCGGTTAGCTGCTGCAACGTTCTCATCGGACTGATTGATGGGGAAGTAAAACTGGGAGTCTAGAGTGATGCCAATGCGGCCTTCCTGCAGCTTCTGCAGTTAGAACAGCAATGGGAGGTTACAAGTCCATGTGTGTGCAAAAGTGAGTCCATGTGTGTGCAAGAGTGAGCGGACTGAAATAGCAGTGATGATGACTGACCTGATAATTGGCTCTGTAAGAAGCAACAGCAGAAGCGTGTGACCTCAATATGTTATGAGCAACAAGGTACGATTCCACTGCGGAATCCCCTTCTTCACACACTTCTCTGTCTGAGCATCTTCCTGGAGCCATTCCTCCTGTCCCGTATCCCTATACAGGCAATAGAGTTGGTTTGGATGTCGTGATGTCAAAGTCAGAAAGTAACTTCAAAAGCTCTCTCTCACTACCTGAATCGAGGTTTCCATTGGTTCGTTGAAAGTGATCCATGTCTTGACATCAGCACCGAACGCCTCAAAGCAAACTTCCGCGTAGTTGGTGAACGCCTCTCTGCTCATAGCTCACATGAAGCAAACCACAATAAAATCGGTTGCACCACATTGAAAAAATTCTTACACAATTGAAGCATTCAGCCAGCCACCCCAGTTCACATGAAGATAATTTGGCAAGTCCCAGTGATACAGCGTCACTGCTGGCTCAATGCCTGCCAATGAATAATACGCCATCGGTTAGATGCAATAGGGGAAGGCTTCTGATACCACACACTTATTCAGAAATGTAGCAAAAAAATACCTGCTGCATTCAGTGCCGCAATAACAGTTTTGTAGTGGTCAATACCTGCCGAGTTGACCTCACCAATGCCGTCTGCAGAGCGAATTAAATCAAACCGCTGTTGCAATCATTCGGAACAGCAAGCATACGTTGAAAAAAATCCACCAGACCTGGCAAGATCCTCGACCACGACAGTGATAGTCGGTAGGACGTGACGCCCAGTTCTTTCATGATCTTGATGTCCTCCTGAAATGAAGTATAAGATGCAAGCTCGAAAAGCATTATGACAATCGACGGGAAACGAGAGGAAGCTCACCAAGAACTTGTGGTACTGGTCCGTGGTAATATTGGGTAGTGAAGAATCCGCAATTTTTCCTGTAAAGAGTGACGTTGATGTTAAGCTGAATAAATTCCGCACTGCCATTGAGGCAAGACGATAGATAGTCATCGTATCGTACCAGGAACTGCGGCAAACACGTCCCAAATGCTGGGCCCCCGACCTCCCTCCGATGGTGCTCCTTCAACCTGAACGTCCAGGATGTTAAGTTCTGAGCTTGACCTTGCTAAAAGAGCAAGCTCCGCAAGCACAACCAACCTGAGTCGCACTTGTCGCCACCCCAAACACAAAGCCGTCCCCAAAGTCGCCTCTTTGCAGCACGTTGTCATCATAAAAAGCCGTGCAGTTCTGAATTGCGAAACAGAATCAGAGTACGGACGACACAACGCTAAGGAGCAAAAGATATCAGTAGCACCGGAGAAAAACACTTACGGAAAGGAGCGTGGAGCTGATAACCCAGTTATTATCAGTTTGGCCAGACACCATAGTTGTACTGATCAGGAGGAACATGAACGCTCCAGCGACTGGGAAAGTCATCGCTGCCATGGTGAAGGTAATCAAAGCCACAGTCGTCCAGAGACAGATCGAGCCTGGAAGCAGTTCTGGAAAAAAATTGCTATGCGTGCTCGTATATGTATGGATTCAGGAGGTGAGTGACCTGTATGGGTCTCCATACCACGTAAATCTCTAGGTGGTAGATTTACGTAAATCTCCATACCACGTAAATCTCCATATCCAGTTCGGAAGGGTAGTATGGAGGAATCAAGGCCAAGCTTGAGCAAATCAAGCTCCGTGCTTCGAAAACAACGTAAGGGCGCGTGTCTTTTGGTGTAGAGGTTCGAAAATAAGGTCGACCTTACGCTGGTAACCCTATTCGTTAATTTCGTACAGTCAAATTCGCACGCATCGTGTGTCCTCCCTGGTCAATGGGTGTGAAGTTGGAAAACAAACTTGGGTCGACCTCACGTTCAAACTTCGAAGAGCAGGTAAGGCCAACCGTGTTTCCACACAAGCATGAACCTCGAGAATGCGAAATCCGCGACGCTCGCAAATCACATCTCGCGCATAAGTGACTTCAATCAGAGGATGTCAAGGTCGCTACATTCCTCGCGCTGTCAAGGCGTGAGAACCGGGTAACCTACGTTGGTTGAGCGCGGCTCGGATGTGGGTGTAGAAAGTCGATCCTAGATTGTCGAACTTTTGTGTGCCATGTGATGTTTGTGAAAGTTGGAAACGCGGCTCGAGCCCAAAAGTTGAGATACTCGAGTACAGGTCGACCTAGGTTCAAACTTAAAAAGTCGACTTAAAATCGTGAAATTTTGGCCAAAAACCAAAAGACACGCGCCCTAAATCTCTAGGAAATGCAGTTGCAAAGCTAACAGGACTTTATATATGTTTGGCAGAGCTGGTCTCACAAGCCTCGATGGCGCAGTCGGTAGCGCGTAGGTCTCATAGCATTCCGACTCCCAGCATGCTGGGCGGAGCCATCTTAAAGCCGGCAGCCCAGATTGCACAAGGTTTAAAAACTTGGCCCTGGGGTTCTGCGGGTGGCGAGGGGTGTGAAAGTGAAAGTCGGGAGCCGAAAGAAGGCACACCCAGTAAGCGAACTCGCGAAGTGTTTAGCGAACTGCCGAGTCAAACAGCACAAAACCAGCCAATAGAAATTGTCGCACGGCGAGCCACACACCACGACCCAAAAAAACAACAGAACACTTCCGCAGCACTTGCACTGCCACACACACAACACCACGACCTGCGCTTTCGACCACCAACCATAAGGCCCGCTAGTTCTTGACTGCATATAGCGGCCAACTATAGTAGGCGGCACGAGCAAGCACACTTGCTCAGTCAAATTCTTAGCATTACGACAGCCATAAAGGTACACTCCAGAGAGATAAAACGTCATACGACCGTCATCAACAAACAGAAACACCGCATTCGCGACGGCTTGATAGGGAATATGGCGGGCCGTCGACCTGGAAAGGGTGCTTCCCGAAGGTACGAAAAAGCCGTAGACACGGCACGAACGTCGGCGCATTCTGAAAGCATCGGACTGCGGCTAAATATCAAACACCGAATTCCAGCGATTAGAACCTCATATGAGACTACACTTCCGCTCAATAGATAGTGACGCCACTTCACCTTCCTCAATTCACCATCCCGCGCGGCTTCACTTCCCCCTCCCGTCGCCTCCACTTCCCCCTCCCGTCACCTCAACTTCCCCCTCCCGTCGCCTCCACTCCCCCTCCTATCGCCTCCACTTCCCCTTCCCATCGCCTTCAATTTTCCTTCCCGTCGCCTCCACATCCCCCTCCCGTCGCCTCCACTTCCCCCTCCCGTCGCTTCCACACCCCCCTCCAGTCGCCTCCACTCCCCCCTCCCGTCGCCTCCACTTCCCCCTCCCATCGCCTTCCCTTTTCCAAGCACACTCGCCTCCACTTCCCCCTCCCGTCGCCTCCACTTCCCCCTCCCGTCGCCTCCACTGCCCCCTCCCGTCGCATCCACTTCCCCCTCCCGTCACCTCAACTTCCCCCTCCCGTCGCCTCCATTCCCCCCTCCCGTCGCCTCCACTTCCCCCATCACAACGCCACCACTTCCCCCTCCCATCGCCTTCCCTTTTCCTTCCCGTCTCATCCACATCCCCCTGCCGTCACCTCAACTACCCCCTCCCGTCTAGTCCACTTCCCCCTCCCGTCGCCTTGCTGTTCCCTTCCCGCCGCCAGAATTTCCCCCTCCCGTCGCATCCACTTCCCCCTCCCATCGCATCCACTCTTCCCTCCCATCGCCTTCCCTTTTCCACCCCGTCTCCTCCACTTCCGCCTCCCGTCTCCTCCACTTCCCCCTCCCGTCGCCTCCGCTTCCCCATCCCGTCGCCTCCACTTCCCCCTCCCGTCACCTCAACTACCCCCTTTCCCCCTGTGTGGTCCACTTCCCCCTTTGCACGCCCCTACAATCCCCTGCTCACTCCCTTGCCCCGAGAACACACTCTTCCCCTCTTCTCACTCCCTTTCTCCCTGTGTGGTATATTTCCACCACATTAACCCATGCTTACTTGTGTTCCCCCTTACCTCACCCCCTTCTCCGCCTGCTCACTCGCTTCACCCTTTTCTCACCCCCTTCTCCACCCTGCTCACTCTCTCTCCCCTGTTGCGCACCCCCTTCTCCACCCTGCACACCCTCTGTGCCCCACTGCTCACCCCTTTCTACACCCTGCTCACCCCACCCTACACCCTGCGCCCTCTCTTTCCCCCTTTGCTCATCCCCTTCTCCACTTGCTCACTCGCTTCACCCTTTTCTCACCCCCTTCTCCACCCTGCTCACTCTCTCTCCCCTGTTGCGCACCCCCTTCTCCACCCTGCACACCCTCTGTGCCCCACTGCTCACCCCTTTCTACACCCTGCTCACCCCACCCTACACCCTGCGCCCTCTCTTTCCCCCTTTGCTCATCCCCTTCTCCACTTGCTCACTCGCTTCACCCTTTTCTCACCCCCTTCTCCACCCTGCTCACTCTCTCTCCCCTGTTGCGCACCCCCTTCTCCACCCTGCACACCCTCTGTGCCCCACTGCTCACCCCTTTCTACACCCTGCTCACCCCACCCTACACCCTGCGCCCTCTCTTTCCCCCTTTGCTCATCCCCTTCTCCACTTGCTCACTCGCTTCACCCTTTTCTCACCCCCTTCTCCACCCTGCTCACTCTCTGTCCCCTGTTGCGCACCCCCTTCTCCACCCTGCACACCCTCTGTGCCCCACTGCTCACCCCTTTCTACACCCTGCTCACCCCACCCTACACCCTGCGCCCTCTCTTTCCCCCTTTGCTCACCCCCTTCAACACCCTGCTCATTCTCTACCCCACTTACTCACCCCCTTATACACCAGTATGCGAACTCTATTTCCCCTACAAACACCCTCCCTGTCCCCCAGTCCTACCCTCCCTTTCCCCCACTCCACCTCGTCCTTCCCCGCACTCCCCTTTCCTTTCCACCACTCCCGCCCGTCCAACCCCCCACTTTCCCCCGTCCAATCCACCACTTCCCCCGATCCAATCGCTCACTTCCCCCAATTATGATGGTTGATTTGCGCACGCATCACCTCACACGGGTGATGAGGGGGGAAGATGCTGCAGGAAGGGTTGTACGAAATGGAGGGGAGGAAACTTGCAGAGGGGAAGGTGGGAGAGGCAACACAGTGCTCCCCCTTTCCCACAGTTGTTATTCCCCATTGGGGCTCATCATCTGTTTTGGTGTCCACCATCAAACCCAACCTTCAGGCGTGGAAGGAAAACGGATGCATCTGCGAGTGGAGGGTCCACTGTAGCGACTCTTAGCGACGAGCATGACAAGGCGGTTCACGGAATATCCAAGCATATGAGGCCAGTCATATGCCTTCAGCGATGCGGGTTGTCGGCATTGATGGGGGGGAAGACCGAAGCGACAACTGCTGATGTTCTTTACTACTTCATGATGAACGCCCCTACAGCGTACAAACGGCTGATGCGGGCAGCCAAAGAAGCAGGTAAGGGTGGAAAGTTGGTGATCATGTCCACGCATGGTTGTGTGTCCGTGATAGTTGAGCAATCCGATTGTTTCGCACATCACAACGGCACTGGCAGCCCCGCAATAATGGTTTGGATATACTTGGTGTCACCGTTGTTCCGTGGCAGGAACACATGGGGGAGATGCATTGGCGACGGCAGAGCTTCACCTTGAGGCATACGGGCGCCAGTTCGATGCACGGGCAAACAGTGGTATTAACGGCGTAACTGGGATAATGGAGAAGGCTGATATCCCAATCGAGGGACTGGTTTACAACTTCCCGCCCTACAAAGAGGATAAGAAGGGGAAAATACGCCCTGTCCGTGGAAACGGTTGGGGTGGGGCCCGAAGGGGTAAAGCCTTCGAGAGCCCAGACGGAGACAAGGTGAGCAACAGCGTGGCTATGGCACAAGAGTATGCTATTTTGGACATACAACCATGCCGCATGCATCAGACGGAGGGGGAAGTGAAGGCTGTACTGTTTATGAGGTGAAACTGAACTGGAGTCTGCAAATACTCATGTGTGTATGCAAGTGTGTGTATACCCTTATGATTCTGATACATGGCGTGTGCGCAGAGGTTGCCCAATCAACAGGAGCGGACCCTGAGGGGGTTGCTCCAAGCCTGCAGCCTCATCCATGCACGATTGTTAGCACTAAACGCAGCCAACAGCACGCGGTACTCCATGCAGCCGGCGTACCAGATGAAGCCCAAAGGTGAGACAACGCGTAGAGAGCATTGGTTGAATGAGGCGTAAAACTAGGGGTGGTATTGAATGAATAGGTGGAAAGTGGTGACATTCGCGCATGCATGCGCACTCACACACCCACACATGCCCGCACGCGTACATGAGCTCATACGAATACAGACACATGTCACTTCACACGCCCAGCATGTCACTTCACACGCCCAGCATGTCACTACACACGCCCAGCATGTCACTTCACACGCCCAGCATGTCACTAAACACGCCCAGCATGTCCCTGCACAGGTGTCACAGCACTCAATTCTGGCCCATTGTGGCAACTCCACCCGCCTAATCTTCCCCTCCCTTCCGCCTCTCCACCTCCTCCCGATATGCCCCGCCTTGTGCCCTCCCATTGCGCCCAGCCTTGTGCCCTCCCATTGCGCCATGCATTGTGCCACGTGCCATTGCGCCCTGCCTTGTGCCCTCCCATTGCGCCCTGCCTTGTGCTCTCCCATTGCGCCCATCCTTTTGCCCTCCCATTGCGCCCTGCCTTGTGCCCTCCCATTGCGCCCAGCCTTGTGCCCTCCCATTGCGCCCAGCCTTGTGCCCTCCCATTGCGCCCAGCCTTGTGCCCTCCCATTGCGCCATGCATTGTGCCACGTGCCATTGCGCCCTGCCTTGTGCCCTCCCATTGCGCCCTGCCTTGTGCCCTCACATTGCGCCCTGCCTTGTGCCCTCCCATTGCGCCCTGCCTTGTGCTCTCCCATTGCGCCCATCCTTTTGCCCTCCCATTGCGCCCTGCCTTGTGCCCTCCCATTGCGCCCAGCCTTGTGCCCTCCCATTGCGCCCAGCCTTGTGCCCTCCCATTGCGCCCTGCCTTGTGCTCTCCCATTGCGCCCATCTTTTTGCCCTCCCATTGCGCCCTGCCTTGTGCCCTCCCATTGCGCCCAGCCTTGTGCCCTCCCATTGCGCCCTGCCTTGTGCCACGTGCCATTGTGCCCTGCCTTGTATTCTCCCATTGCGTCCTGCCTATGGGCCCTCCAGGAATACTCATCAGGATGGGCCCCTTAAGGATACTCCAGTTCCAATCCCGAGAGGGTGGCCACGTGCTCCAGCCGTCACGGACATGTCACCGTACATGGTATGTTTCTTGGAGCCAAGACACATGCTAGAAGCTTTAGCACCACTGCGGATCAGTTGCACAAGAAAAGGCTGCGGCGGGAGCATGTCCCTCGTGTCATGGAAAACTACATGGGCTTCTCTTGGTCTTTATTGGCACTGTAGTACGTGCCCTAGCCGCACGGAGATATGGACAACCCCGAAAAAAGAAAACGATCAGAATGGGAAGCGGACGGGGCCAAAGTCTATACAACTTATGCAAAAGTTTGTGGGTGCGTTTGCCCTCGGAGGGTTAGGGTTTCAAGTGATGTGGGAAGTGTGTCGCAATCTTGGACTGCCAAATCCCGGAAAAGGCACGTTTTACCGACTGTTGCAAGGTGAAAAGGGTTTGTGGAATGCCATCATTCGTGCAGCCCAAGAATCTATGGCATCAGTGCGTGATACCCTCATTAAGAGGGATGGAGGGGTGGGATACATTAGTGCGGATGGCAGATTTTCACAAGCTCGAGAGGCTGAGTATTGCACCGTGTCGTTTCTGCATCCCGAGAGTAGGAAAGTTTTGCACACAGAGACTGCGATGAAGTATGTCAATGATCCGTCGTCTCCTAGGCTAGAAAGCGTTGCCTTCAATTTGGGCATGGACTTCTTAAAAAATGTGGGGTTTGAAGTGGCTGGTATTGTTACGGATGAGGGTAGTACCTTTCGGACCGTGGCCGTGGACAGAGGGATTGGACACCAGCACGATTGGTGGCACAAAAGACGATCTGTGGTCAAGAGCTTTGAAAACGACTTGCAAAATCGCGTGAGGGAAGTGGTCGAAATTGATAAGGCGAAGGTTGTAGAGGACCTGCATATGCATACGGTCGTGAAGCTAAGAGGGTGGTTGCAGAAGAAGGCCCCAGCCAAGGTGGGTGGGTCCAATGGAAAAGACAAATTGATCGAGGACATTTGCTCTGAACTCGGCATTGAGTACCGGTTTGTGGATCCGGCAGATGCAAAATGGGAACATCCTGAATTGCAGCAGGTCGTGAGCGCCACAAACGTGCAAGCAGCTGGTCAAGGTGTGGGGGACTTAGAGGAGCGGGATGATGAGGAGGCAGCGGGCAGAGTGGATGTACCTGTTATGCTTTCGCTCATACATAGTCGAGGCATGGGCCGTGGTCAGGATGGGCCGGAAGAGGGCGGGGATGCAGTGGAAATGCTAGAAGGACCGGTGAGGGTGGATGTCTCTTGGCCAGATGTGGAAGAATTATGGCAATATGACATCCACCCAGTGCATGGATTGCGACCATCATCTCAGGCATCATTGGTGGTCACACTTGCGTGCAATGGTGCACGCGCTGAGGTGGATTTCATGGAGCGTGTAGCAGATATCTTACCCGGATCTGCCCATCAAAAAGGTGAGCTTAGCACTCCTGCACCGACTCAAATTGCTCGCACATTTCGGTCACACCATTTCCGCCACTCACACAGCTCACTACCACAATGTCAGGCCCTCACACCGATCGTATTCACCAACACTCTGCTCCACAAACCCCTCATTTCCACAACTCCACCCACACACACCTCATTTCCACCACTCCAGCCCTGTTCATAGCTAATTATAACCACTCCAGTAACACACACGCCTCATCTCCACCACTCCAGCCTCATTCATAGCTCATTATCACCACTAAAGCCCCTCACACAGATCGTATTCACCAACACTCTGCTCCACAAACCCCTCATTTCCACCACTCCACCCACACACACCTCATTTCCACCACTCCAGCCCTGTTCATAGCTCAGTATAACCACTCCAGTAACACGCACACCTCATCTCCACCACTCCAGCCCCATTCATAGCTCATTATCACCACTTCAGCCCCTCACAGAGATCATCTCAACCACCACTGCCCCATACACACCTCATTACCACCACTCTTGCCCGAGATGCCAGCTCATCTTCACCACTCCAATTTGCTTTACCACGGCACACAATTACCCGCTTATGCCCTGATGCTGATTCATTGGGGACTTGCAGGAGAGCAAGCTGGCATTTCCACCATCAAGAGCAAGGAGCAGCGACGGTGGTCAAAACGTACCTCAAAGAAGCGGGCACGTGGGGAAGGTGTGAACGCGACCCTCGCTGGAGAGAGCGATGGAAGCAAAAAGCCGGTGTTCACTCTTGGTCAACGCTTTAGCGTGCATTTCAAGCACTGCATGATGCGGAATGCCACCAAGGCCAGCGAGGGACATCCAATGACGCCAGAGCAGGTGTCTGAGGAGTTGGGGCTTGCTGCAGATCATTGGGCAGGTGACCATACACGCTGCGCACGTGTGGGAACAATGCCTCCACGCTGTATTTCTGAAGGGTGGGGGGAAGAGAGTGCTGTATACGCTTTTGGATCACCAACGCACTTGGCTGTTCGTGAGTGGTTCAAGACACGGCTAGGGCCAACTCAGGTGGCATCATTGACTCTTGGCGCAAACAGCTCACTGAACGAGTCCTTCCACTCACTTGTTTGCAAGTGTGCACCCAAGCGCCTGCGGTTCAGAGGCAGCATGGAGGCTCGCATAGCCTTGGCCGTGCTGCATTGGAACAGCTGCATGGACCGGCTCGTGGTGGCACAACATTATGCGGGAATGGTTGGCACAAGGTGCAGCGGATGTTGGAGAGTCTGAGAGGAACGGAGAGGGAGAGGGTGTTGATGGTGTTGACGATGAGGAACGAAGTGAGCACACCCGTGCGCAGCGCCAACGCACCTTGACCGGACCCTCCAGCACCGCTTCAGTTGAGCCTGAAGGCAGCATCCCGATCATGACCACTGACCTCGTATTTTCGCCCGGATGCCAGGGCAGCACGACTCGGGCTGGTGCCCCCAAACACAAGAAGCGGCCTACACCAGCCCGTCGCTGTTTGCTGGGTTCGTTGTCGTGCTTCCAAAACGCATTTGCTAATTCTTGTGCCACGTCAAGTAGTGGCACAGTATCATTGCCTTGGACCAGCCCTCCTTGTTGCTGTAATCCCACCACTCCATCTGCCACTTGCTGGGCAAGTTGATCAACTGGTCATATGATACGCTAATGCTCAATCTGTCCTTTCCCCACACCACTCCCACAGGGGAATTGCCAACCAATCTGCGCTGATGCAAGCGGCACGAAATGGCGGTGCGGGCGTAAACGCAAGTCTCATCAAGCGTAGGGTTCTCCGACCATGGCTGGTGAGCAAACCTTGCCACACCAATATGTGGGTTTGGAGCTTAGTGGTGAGAAGGACCATGGCTGGTGGTACGCACATTTTTTTGTGGGAGGGCTTGTGTGTGGTGTTCCCATGTATACATTTCAGCAACTGAGTGCTGTAACCATTATATGTACAACGCCCCTCATTCAACACCCGCAGATTTGTCCTTCTTTTGCCCACTCACTCCCCCCTTCCCACGCATGGCTCCTTTCATCCGTGCTATTGCCAGAATATTGTTTCAACCTTGACCTGCCATTGAGCGTGGAGCTTGTCAGTATCGCCCAAGGGAAGAAGAAGCCCATCCAAGTGTACTAGGCATGGGGATGTTTAGAAGTCCATCTCAATCAATTCGGCATCATGTGCCGCGGTTTTCGGTTGCTCTGCGTACTGAACATTTCGATAACTCGTCATATAACTCTAACAGCATCCCGCAGGACATGGACGGGTGTGAGGCAAGGCACAGCCATGTGCTCGCTGCAGCTCTTTTTACCCATTTCAAAAGAGGAACCCATGTCTTGATTGAGTGGACTACTATATCGTCTCGTGCTCGAGCACAGTTGGTACTCATCATACAATACTCTTGCAAGTCTCGTGCAATAGATTAGTCTTGTAGCCTGTGTTGTAGTAGCATGGGACCTACTGCTTGGCAGGACTAGTTACGCAGGGTGTTTAGGGTGTAGCAGGTCCGCGTGATGCTCAAGAAATTCGCTACTATTGGACACGTGAATGCTGGAGCCTCTGCAATGCAGACATAGGCAGGAAGGACAGGGAAGATGACGAATGTTATAAGAAGGCATACGGTATGGGGAACGAAATCACAGGGAAGATGCTGAAAATAATAACAGGGCAGAGTTGTGGGGAATTAGAAAGAGTGGGGAATCAGCGAAATCGCCTATGACTGGAGGAGTGAGATGGGCCGAGTGGGGAGAAGGAGGCATGAATTCAGGTAAACTCCGACTGCAGTCACAATGCAAGAGATTCTGGTGGAGAGGCAGGGAGAGAGGTATAAGTGTACGATGGGCAAGTAGGCAGCTGTAGACTCTGATTGAGTGGAGTGGAGTAGCCATTCTGTGCATCAGCAGCAGAGGCGGCGGAAGGATGGAAACTGCTGAGCCTCCACAGCCTGGGGGGTGGCATGCTGCTGCAAACGAGGCGTGATGTGGAACTGGCATGCAGGTTTGCCTGAGAGGGGAGGGGGAGGAATAGAGAGGAGGGGCAGGAAAAACAGAATTGATTTTCTGAGAGAACGACTGGAAGAAATTGGGGGGGAAGAAAGAGGGGTGTGCGGCTTTACGCCACGCCTACCCTACTGCATGGTGTGCGCCCGCCATTCCACGCCATCCACTCGCCCGCCTCCTGCTCTCCCTCCAAGCCCGCTGCTCACCCACCATGCTGCTGGGGAGGGAGGAGGGGTGAGAGGAGGACGGGAGGGGGAAAGGAGGAAGAGAGGAGGTGAGGAGGTGAGTGGGAGCCCGGGTGCAGCGGAGTAGGGGGGGAAGAGCCAAGGGCGGTTGTGAGGTTTGGGGGTTCGTTTTATGCATTGCGTCCACTTCTACACCCTGTGTTGGTGTCATTGAGTTGCGTAGGTACAACGCAAGTCATGTGCGCGTCATGACTGCTCCCAAAAGGCGCTGCTGCCAATGAGCCCCCGCGCTGCGGTGACAGACCAACCAACCATACCCGTCAGGGCACGTGCGATCTCGCGGACGTTGGGCGATAGACACGCCATCATGGCTGCAGTGAGCAGAGAGCGCACTACTACCCTGGCCTGAGGGCGCCGATATGAGCTGCGCTCTCATTGCCACATGTGCGTAGAACACGCGCAAGTGCCACCAGATCGCCACTCGCCTGGGTTAGGAGGAGAGGCGAGAGGGGGAGGGTGGGGGGAGGTGGATGGAAAAGGGGGATGGAAGGAGAGGAAGTTTGTTACACCCCTCACACGAGGGGCCAGGTCCGGACTCGACCTCGATGGCGTGGACCGTGGCACGGGTGCGGGACAGCAGTGAAAGTTGGAGAGGGGGAGCCCACACGGAGGCGCGGAAAGGAGAGAAGAATACAGAGATCCTATGAGACGTAGGGGACGCAAGGCTATGAAGAGGATGCGGCGGAACGAAGAGGGAAGGGGAGAGGAGGGAAATGAGGCGAGAAGAGGGGAGGTGCGAGAGGAAGAATAGGGTGTTGAAGGAAGGAGCTTTGATCACGATGGCGCAAAAGGGACGCCAATTTGCTGCCCACGGACAGGCGGCGGGGAAGGGTGGGGAGGGGAAATGGGGACAGTGGGGAGTGAGTGAGCAGTAAGCGAAGGCGTGCCCAGCGCTCCCCCGCCCTTGTCCAACCAGCATGTTCCACAGCAGCATTCCCCAACTCATAACACATCCAAAGGCTCGTCCCATTGTTTTCAGAGTAAGGCACAGCAATGCATCTCACCACTGCTGCCCTGTGCCTAGCGGGCCACCCGCGAAGAGCTGGAAGATGGGCAGCATCTTGCCCGCGCTCCCCATCCCTTGTCCAGCACAACACCGAAGCGGATTATCGCGAGGCGGGTTGACTCGGGCGAGACATTCTGCGCCTCTGCCTCCCACTTGGTGCACACCTGGTGAGCGTTGGCGGGGGAGAAGAGGAGATTGGGGATGGGTACGTCCATGCCTGGGGTGGGGTTGCGCAGAGAAGGCACAGAGGACTTGGAGGGAAGGCGAAGCAGGATCGGTAACAGAGAGATGAACGGGTGTTTGCCACGGCTGCTGCCCACCCCTCGGGGCCCACCAGCTCCTCTCCCTCCGCGCCTGGGATGGTGGGTGGTGAGACGAACACACAGGGAAATTGGATGGATGCGGAAAACAGGATCAGTAACATAGAAATGAACAGGTGTCTGCTACGGCTGCTACCCAACCCTCCGGCCCCACCAGCTCCTCTCCCTCCGAGCGGGACGGGGAAGTGGAGGGGGTGGGAGGGGAAAGGGACAGCGACGGGAGGGGGAAGTGGCGGCGACGGGAGGGGGGAGTAGAGGCGACGGGAGGGGGAAGTGGAGGCGACGGGAGGGGGGAGTAGAGGCGACGGGAGGGGGAAGTGGAGGCGACGGGAGGGGGAAGTGGAGGCGACGGGAGGGGGAAGTGGAGGCGACGGGAGGGGGAAGATGAGGCGACGGGAGGGGGAAGTGGAGGCGACGGGAGGGGGAAGTGGAGGGGGCGGGAGGGGAAAGGGACAGCGACGGGAGGGGGAAGTGGAGGCGACGGGAGGGGGAAGATGAGGCGACGGGAGGGGGAAGTGGAGGCGACGGGAGGGGGGAGTGGAGGCGACGGGAGGGGGAAGTGGAGGCGACGGGAGGGGGAAGTGGAGGCGACGGGAGGGGGAAGTGGAGGCGACGGGAGGGGGAAGTGGAGGCGACGGGAGGGGGAAGTGGAGGCGACGGGAGGGGGAAGTGGAGGGGGCGGGAGGGGAAAGGGACAGCGACGGGAGGAGGGAGTGGAGGCGACGGGAGGGGGAAGTGGAGGCGACGGGAGGGGGAAGTGGAGGCGACGGGAGGGGGAAGTGGAGGCGACGGGAGGGGGAAGATGAGGCGACGGGAGGGGGAGGGGAACATCGCATTCGTTGCATTGGTACTTGTTTGCGCTTAGATCATTATGAATACGGACTGTAAACCAAAGCGCTGCGCGGAATTCCGCAGAGTCGCTCAGGCAAATCGAATGACGACACGGTTTTTTTCCGGTCCGAGGCGTAGAGAGCGACGAGGACACATGCCTAAACCCCACGCGATCTCTGTCTACGCCATGAGACGCAGCGCGTCGAGGCGCACGACATCGCAACAGCGCGCGAGGTGACGCGGCGCGATGTACGAAGCTGCGAGCAGCTTCGTCGACATGGCAAGTAGACGGAGTGCCGGCATGGCTGGGACTACTATCTAAACGACCTTCGGTCATACGACGAACGCGACCATCGCCGTCGCGTCGTCTGGATGTGCGCTCTGCTGGAAGGTGGGAGAAACAGGCAATAGCACCAGTACCATCGATGCCCCTATTTTCCGCTGCTAGCGATTGGCATAGTTCCCAGTATATGCAGCCGATTTAGAGCAGGCGTACCATGGCCGCCGCTAGTGTGCCTGAGAGTTGTGCGTCGGCTTTTGCGGGTGCTTTGTTTGTGTCCAAGAGTCCCAAATTGCACACCCTCGTTTTCAAGTTTTTGGGTGTGTGTTGGTTCTGCCGGACCCTGGTTTGCGATTCATGACGGCTGTGTTCAATCTCATTGGTTCACAACATTAGGGTAGTCAACTCTCATTGGCTCACAGCCTGTGTTGTGTCGCGCGGTCCTCTGTCTCCCAGGAACTTGGTAACCCGAAAGTGAGGGGGTCAAGTTATAAAAACTTGACCCGCGCGGCTTGCAATTTGGGCCGCGGGCTTTAAGGTCGTGAGTTCGATCCTCAATCGGGGCAACATTTTGCAGGACATTTTGTTTCTGACCCGGCCCGTTGGGATTTGTTTTGCTCGGACAGCGAAGCGAACCGCCAATTGTTGACAGGAATTGCAGTACTCGCGCGCGCGATTCGGGAATTCCGACAGAGGCATGACAGAGGTTGTAACTGCCCGTGCGAAAGCATGGCGATGAGTTTGGCGATATTCGGCTTCTCTGATCGATATTGCCTAGGTACAACTGCGATTTCCGACGAAGGCTGTGGCAAAACGAAGCCCAAGGCTGGGCCAGGCACAGGGATCACCTTCAGCCATATCGCCACTGACGGACACTTCGAAGAGTACATACCTAGTCAGGGAGTTGGCTGTGCAACACCATGGGCATGCCGTTGTATACTGACGATGGAGTAGGATAACTTTGCCGAGCTTAGAAAGTCACTAGCCCGCGATTTGACTATTATAGAGTTCTCGTTAGCTTGTAGTTGTCTCTCTTATTCCCGTGTTGGAGGAGAAGCATGCAACCGGCAGGAAACAAAGGCCGTCGAGGCCAGAAGACATGTAATTTTTCGTTCACCCCAACTGACTTCGCAGAATTCCCGTAGAAACAGCATGTACCTTCCCTCGTTGTCTGGCGTTTTCCTCGATGTATGGCAGAATACAATTCTCTAAAGGCATAGCTCGGTAGTACCACATCTCTCGCAGCATTGTAATATGTACGTTTCTCCCCTGCTGTTTCCAGGGTCCTTCGCGGCTCATTCGTCGAGCGTGAATTGCATAAGCATCGGCAGGAAGTCGGCGGAGAGGTTTATAACGGGCGGGGACGATAAGAAGCTGCACCTATGGTCCACCCGCCAGCGGGCGCCGTTGCTGGTAGGATCCGCGATTCGAGATTTACCCGAAGCGTCGTGAAATGTGAGAGGAGCATGCAAGAGGAACACTTGCGAGGGCATCCGTTTCTTGCTGCGACGTCGCCAGAGCGTGCTGCTAGACACAAGCGAGGAGAACGTTTCTTACCCCATTCTGTTCCCTTTACCCATCTCCCCCGTCCCGCAACTTGCCTCCCCTTCACTGCATCTACCTCCCGTTCCCGCATATCTCTCTCCCTCCCCGCGCCGCCAGTCGCTGCGCGGCAACACTAGCGCCATACAGAGCGTGCTGCTGGATGCGAGCGAGGAGCTCGCCGTCGCAGGCGGCGCTGCGGGCGCCGTGAAGCTATGGGACCTGGTCGAGGGGCGAGGTGAGGGAGGGGGGAAGTATGGGGGGTGAGTGGTGAGGGGGGGGGAAGTACGGGGAGGGGCGTGGTAAGGGGGAACGGAGTGTGGTGGAGGCGCGAGGTGGGGAGGGGGGGTGGGACTAGTTGGAGGCGGGAGGTGAGAGGGATGTTGTTGGGGCTGGTGGTGGGAGGGGTGACAGGGGGACTGTGTGGTCGGATGTGGGAGGGGTGACAGGGGGACTGTGTGGTCGGATGTGGGAGGGGTGACAGGGGGACTGTGTGGTCGGATGTGGGAGGGGTGACAGGGGGACTGTGTGGTCGGATGTGGGAGGGGTGACAGGGGGACTGTGTGGTCGGATGTGGGAGGGGTGACAGGGGGACTGTGTGGTCGGATGTGGGAGGGGTGACAGGGGGACTGTGTGGTCGGATGTGGGAGGGGTGACAGGGGGACTGTGTGGTCGGATGTGGGAGGGGTGACAGGGGGACTGTGTGGTCGAATGTGGGAGGGGTGACAGGGGGACTGTGTGGTCGGATGTGGGAGGGGTGACAGGGGGACTGTGTGGTCGGATGTGGGAGGGGTGACAGGGGGACTGTGTGGTCGGATGTGGGAGGGGTGACAGGGGGACTGTGTGGTCGGATGTGGGAGGGGTGACAGGGGGACTGTGTGGTCGGATGTGGGAGGGGTGACAGGGGGACTGTGTGGTCGGATGTGGGAGGGGTGACAGGGGGACTGTGTGGTCGGATGTGGGAGGGGTGACAGGGGGACTGTGTGGTCGGATGTGGGAGGGGTGACAGGGGGACTGTGTGGTCGGATGTGGGAGGGGTGACAGGGGGACTGTGTGGTCGAATGTGGGAGGGGTGACAGGGGGACTGTGTGGTCGGATGTGGGAGGGGTGACAGGGGGACTGTGTGGTCGGATGTGGGAGGGGTGACAGGGGGACTGTGTGGTCGGATGTGGGAGGGGTGACAGGGGGACTGTGTGGTCGGATGTGGGAGGGGTGACAGGGGGACTGTGTGGTCGGATGTGGGAGGGGTGACAGGGGGACTGTGTGGTCGGATGTGGGAGGGGTGACAGGGGGACTGTGTGGTCGGATGTGGGAGGGGTGACAGGGGGACTGTGTGGTCGAATGTGGGAGGGGTGACAGGGGGACTGTGTGGTCGGATGTGGGAGGGGTGACAGGGGGACTGTGTGGTCGAATGTGAGGGCAATGTTGACGCGGAGAAGGAAGACGGGTAGCCATGGCGGGTAAAGTCATGGCTAAAACTGGTGGCTACAATGGGAATGGCCGAGACGTGGGGTGAAAGAAGCGATGGCAACGATATCCATCTCTCCCGTGTCGGAAATCTTGTGCATACGCCTTTCCCAGTCCTACCGTCTTCCTTCCACCGCCGTCCCCTTCCCGTCATCCCCTCCCCGCGCCTCCTCTTTGCCTCCCCCCTTCTCCCTCATCGCCGCCTCCTTCCCGCCATCCCCCTCCCCTCATCCCCTCCCAGCCCCTCCTCATTGCCTCCCTCTTTCCCCTCATCGCCGCCTCCTTTCCGCCATCCTCTCCCCGCGCCCCCCCAGCCATCCGCACGATGACGGGCCACAAGGCCGCGCCCGTCGCGCTCGACCTCTACTCCGCGGGCGGGCTGTGCGCGTCGCTCAGCCCCGCGGACGGCACTGCGCGCGTGTGGGACCCGCGCCAGAAGGAAGCTGCGCACGTCTTCCGCGGAATGGGCGCGGGGGACGCGGGAGAGGGCGGCGGAGCTGTGGGAGGGGGAGGGGCGGAGGGGAGGGGAGCGGGAGCAGGGGGCGGGGCGGAAAGCGCGGGGGGGAAGGGCGGGAAAACTGTAGGGTGCGTGCGGTTCAGTCCGGACGGGCGGTGGGTGGTGGCAGGCGGGCAAGATGGGCGCATCAAGGTGAGCAGCGCGCGGGGAGGGAGGTGGCGGGGAGATTGAAGGGAGGAAAAAATGAGCTTATCCCAACCCCTTGGAAGTACCCACCACGTGCCTCCACTATTTCCCCCTTCCACTCTCACATCTGCTCCCTCAGAGAGGCTCTCCACCTCCCCCTCCTTCCCTTCGCGCGCCTGTCCCTCCGCGCGTGCAGCTGTTCGTCCTGGCGCAGGGGCGGCTGTTCGCGGAACGACGTGCCTCCACTGTTTCCGCTCACCACTCTCACATCTGCTCCCCTTCCCTCTCCCCCTCCTTCCCTCCGCGCGCCTGCCCCCCCGCGCGCAGCTGTTCGACCTGGCGCAGGGGCGGCTGTTCGCGCAGCTGGCGGGGCACGCGGGCGCGGTGGCGGCGCTCGACTTCCATCCGCAGGAGCTGCTGCTCGCGTCCGCCGCGCGCGACCGCACCGTGCGCTGGTGGGACCTCGAGTCGTTCGACTGCGTTGACTACGCGCCGCCCGGCGCGGGCGGAACCACCGCGCTCGCGTTTGCTCCGCAGGGAGACGCGCTCTTCGTGCCCTGTACTGACCACCTCAAGGTGAGTGCGCCGTGCAGCAAAGCGAGATTTTAGAAATCAACCACTTTCTCTGCCCTGGCGACTTGACGATCCTCTTGCCTTCCGCCCCACCGCCCCTCCCGCTGCTGCTGCCCGGATATCAGGTGTGGGGCTGGGAGCCAATCAGGTGCTTCGACTCTGTCCACGTGGGATGGCCGAAGGTCGCTGACGTCAGCGTGAATGAGAACTCCCTGGTGGCTGTCTCTGCATCCGTCACCGTTGTCACTCTCTGGACCGTTGATCTTGAGGTAATATCTTGCCCTCTCAACCGTTGATCTTGAGGTAATATCTTGCTCTCTCTCAACCGTTGATCTTGAGGTGCCGTTCACCCTGCCCTGCTGTCCCTGTGCTTCCCACCCACGCTCCCTACATCTATAGCACCAACCCTTCTTCCTCCCCGTTCCTTTTCCCTCTCCCCTCCCTATCAACCTCCTTCTCCCCTTTCTAATTCTTCTCTCCTCTCCTCCCCTCGTTCACCTAATCATCCCCTCTCCCATCCCCTCTCCCCTTTCTCCTCTCACCCCCTCCCCTTCCCCCCCCCACCAGCGAGTGCTGCCATTCAGCAAGGACCCAGACCAGTGCTTCGACGAGCCCCTCCCCCTCCCCTCCCCCCCCCCGCACCTCCACTCTCGCAGCCCTTTCTCCGCCCTCTCCCCCTTCGCCCCCTCCCCCTCCTCCTCCTCCCTCTTCTGCCCCTCCCCCGCCTCCCCCTCCGCCTCCCCCTCCCCCACTCTGTCACGCCGTAACAGCCTGAGGGCAAGCCTGGGGGGCGCGGGGGCGGGGGGGTTCGGGGGGTGGGGGAAGGTGGCGCCTGAGGGGGGTGACAGTGATGTGGAGGGGGGGAACTGCCAACATCACAGTACGTGTGCATGTATACATATATTCGTGCGTTGATTGCTGTATAAACATGAAGATTTCATTGTTTGTGTATGTCAGAATCTTGTTGCAACAGTTACATTATTGTTCCGTCAGTCCAGCCCTCATTCGCCTCGTCCCCATCCACCTTCCCCTCATCCCCGTATCCCTCCCCCTTCCCCTCCCCCCACAATCTCCCGGCCAATCAGAGCCCGCAACGCTCCCCTCCTCGCGTGCGCGCTCCTCCTCTCTCCCGCGCTCCCTCGCGCGCCACCTCGCCCCCACCATTGCCTCTCTGCAGCGCGCCCGCCGCGCCCCCTCCCCCTCGCCCTCGCCCTCTGCCTGTTGCGACGGGGAGAAGGAGAGGGAGCGAGCGAGGGAGAGGGAGCGAGAGAGGGAGTGGGATGACAGGGTGTCTGTGGGCACTCCGAGGAGGTATGTGAGGTCTCCGCAGAGGGCGAGTGGAGGGGTGGGGAGGGGTGAGAGGGGCGACAGGGGGAGTGGTGCGTGGTGCAGCAGTGAAGGCGGCTGGTGGGGGAGGGAGGGCAAGGGGGGGCGAGGGGGTGTTGTGGCAGCGGTGGTGTTGGGTCGAGATGGTGATAAGGGTGTGAAGTATGGAGGGTATACCACAGGAGGAGATACCAGCATTGACGACGAGTGCACGAGTCATAGACTGCCACGTGGCACCTCAGTATCGCATGGTGCAACCACCACCACTACCGCAGCTGCTGCCGGTCATACTGCCTCTCAACGCGGCTCACGTATGCACTCCCAGGCGTCTCCTTGCCACTCCCCTCCCTCCTCCTCCCCTTCCAACCCCAACGGTCACTCCCCTGCTCGCACTGCTCCTTCGTCTTCTGCCACTCCCGTTACAGTCACACCAGGTGCGGGCGTACCATCCGCTGCTGCACATTCTGCTTCCCCCGCACCTGGTCGGGCCACCGCTGCTGCTGCCGTTGCAGCTCCAACCTACACTGCTGCTGCTCCAGCCTCTGCTGCTGCCACCACACCAGCCACACCAACCCCAGCAGCAGCAGCAAGAGCAGCAGCGGCGGGGAGGGGCGGGCAGGGCGCGGTGTCAGGGCGGTCGCCCATAGTGGACCTGGTCTCCCGCGTGTCTGACTGGATTGGGTCGCTCTCCTCTCAGGAGCACACGGGAGCAGGCGAGAGGACGGGTGGGGGGAGCGGAGGGAGCGAGAGGAGGAAGTCGGAGAAGGGAGGGAGTGAGGGGAGGATGGGGGAGAGGCGGAGAGGCAAGGCGGAGGACGAGGGCGCTGATGCTGCTGGTGGTGCTGCTGCTGGTGCTGCTGGTGGTGCTGCTGCTGCTGGTGCTGCTGGTGGTGCTGCTGCTGGTGCTGCTGCTGGTGCTGCTGGTGGTGCTGCTGGTGGTGCTGCTGGTGGTGCTGCTGGTGGTGCTGGTAGTGCTGGTAATGGTGGGGGCAGCTCCTTTGGCAGACTGGGCCAAACTGCTCGCCGAATGACCTTTGGGTCCGGAGGTAATAGCGCAGGCAACAACGGGGATGGCAGTATTGATGCTGCTGCTGCTGCTGCTGCCAGAAGCAGTGGAACCAGGCCTGGTAATGGAACTGCTCTGGCTGCTGCTGCTGCTGCTGCTGGTGGGACAGCCATCAACAGCACGACGACCAACACCACCACCACCAGCGCCCGCACCCACAGCAGCAGCGGCGACCATCCAACCATCCCGCCCTACGCGGCCAGTCTCAGAGCCCCCTATGCGGCCGACACACAGCCAGACAGCTCCCCTCCCCCCACCTGCTCCTCTGCTTCCGCTTCCCTCTCCGTGGGCAGCTGGGGCTTCCGAACCTCCAGCAAGGCTCGGGGAAAGAGGCAGGGGTCTCCGGTGCCGGCCCTCTCTGAGGGCAGGTCCGGCAGCGCGCCGAGCCAGAGCTCGCTGGTTCGGAAGCTGGGTCTGTTTGTGCCGAGGCTGCGGCCGCCGTATGCTGTGGATGATGAGGAGGTGGAGGAGGGGGAGGAGGTGGAGCAGGGGGGTGGGGGGGAGATGGCGGGGATGGTGAGAAGCCAGAGCGAGAAGGTTCCCGGAAGCGGGCCTCTTGTTGTGATCCGCCACGGAGGACTGGCTGACGTGGAGGTTTCGGCCAATCAGAAGGTAGCAGGGAGCGGTGGAGTCGGGAGAAGGGTGAGTGGGGAGGATGAACGGAGGCGTGGGCAGGAGAAGGGGAAGGAGGGCGCGGTTGAAGCAGCAGAGAGGAGAAGTGGCGCAGAGATTGGAGCAACCGCTGCTGTTGATGGTGGTGGTGGTGGCGTGGTGGGGAGAGTGGGGACAGGGAGCATGGGGGGTGTGGAGGAGAGGGCAGGTCGTGAGGTGGTGCAGAGGCGGGTGGGGGGAGGGGCAGGGGACCTCATTCCCTTCCTGCGCGAGGCTGAGAGGCAGGAGCAGCTGCAGCAGCAGGAGCAGCAGCGCCACCACCCGCAGCAGCAGCAGCAGCAGCAGCAACACCATCACCAACCCCAGCAGCAGCAGCAGCATCAGCAGGGAGGGGAGCAGGCGAGCGAAGAAGAGGCAGCGGTGGTTGCGGCAGTAAGGGATGGGCACGAGCGGGTGGTGCGACAGCTGGCGGCGCGCAGGCAGGCGGTGCGGCAGGTGGGGGAGATGTGGCGTGAGGGGCTTGTGGCTGATGCCCTCGCGTTCCTGGCAGTCACTGCTGATGAAGGGGTGAGTGGGGGAAGGGGGTGAGTGGGAAGGGGGTGAGTGGGGGAAGGGGGTGAGTGGGAAGAGGGTGAGTGGGGGAAGGGGGTGAGTGGGGGAAGGGGGTGATTGGGGAGGGGGTGAGTGGGGATGCACAGGTGAGTTGGCGTGCTTGTCACCTCACCTTGCACTCTTCTGTTACGTTTGCAAGCACAGTGCAGTGCAGCACGCACCATGCAAAGCCTTCCTCCTCACCTCCCTTCCATGCCTGGACGCCTCCCTTCTTGCCAATGCCTGGACTCCTCTCTTTATAACAACCAAGCGCTTTCCCACGCACCCCAAAGCAGCACCTCCCACGCCATAGAGAACGGCTGACAATGACTCTGCTCCATGCCCCGCCTCCCTCCCTGTACCACCCCTTACCGAATTCACTCCCCCTTGCCCCCCTCGTAGGTTCTGGTAGACGTGGTTTCAGCCATGGCTTCACAGGGCAGCAGCAGCATGGCAGGGGGCGGAGGGGGGGGTGCGCCCAGCAGCGTGGGCGGCGCGTGTGGGACAAGCGCTGCCGTGCAGTGTCTTGGAGTGGACGGCTGTGCCGCCTTGGTGCCGATTCTGGGCGGCTTGCTGGCCAGTGCGCAGTCCAGCCGCGTGCACGCCGCCCTCCTGCTGCTCCGCGCACTGCTGCGCTGCTACAGTGACAGCATATCTGCCGCCCGCTCTGCCGTCCACTCGCCCGGCGTGGATCTGCACATGGAAATGCGGTGAGGAGAGGTTATAGGAGGTGAAGGGGGGTGAGGGATGGTTAGGCGTGGTGAGGGGAGGTAAGGGGAGGTGAGGTGGGGTGAGAGAAAGTGAGTGGGGGCGAGCGGATGTGAAGGGGGGTGAGGGAGGCAGAGGGAGGAATGAGAAAAGATGCTTGGGAGCGGGGCGAGAAGGGGAGGGTGATGGTGGGAGTGGCTGCCAGGGGACGCTGCGTGGGGCAGGGATACACTTGACTCAGAATACTTATACTCGTCCATCTCCTCCCCGTTCCTCTCGTCGCCAACTCTTCCTCAATCTGTTAGTCCTCCCTCCTTCACCCCCCATTCCCCCACCCCCCTCCCGCTGTGTGCAGGCTGCAACGCTGTGCGGAGTGTGCTGAGGCCTTCCGCGCCCTCACCCCCCGCCTGCAAACGCTGCTGCACACGTGAGGCCCCATGCCCCCATCACCCCCACGCCCCTATGCTGTTCTTCCCCCAGTGCACCCAATGCACACCGCATCACAACCCATCACAACCCATCACAACCCATCACAACCAGTGCGCACCCCTGCCATGATTGATGTCCCCTGCCATGACTGCCATGCTAGTCTCGTCTTCTGTCCCGGCCCAAAGCTCATGCCTGCTGCGCCCTTCAGCCACGCCCCCTCTACAACCCACACTTGCTCCAGGTCTCGTGCCTCTTGACCCTGCCGGGCACGTTATCATTCTCAGGCCTCGTGTCTGTGCGACCTCCTATCCCCACGCTCTCTCCCCCGTCCGTCCCCGCTCCCATGTGTGCAGCGGCCCCAAGGAGAATTGCTCGCTTGCCACCCAAGTGCACATGCTCACATCCCGCCTCGCCTCTTGACGCACTCTCACAGGCTCACTCTCACAGCCCGCCTCCCCTCCTTACACTTGACCTCGCACCACCTCCCTCCCTTTCAACTCTCACGTCACCCCTCGCCACTCGCGCGTCTCCCTGCCCGGCCTTCTTCCCTGCCAGACACTGCTGCAGCCTCGCACACCACTTCCTTCGTGCAACACGCTCGGAAAATACTAACAGCTGCCACCCACACACCCCCTCAAACGGCGCCACATTGATGCATGGCAACAAGCCTCATACACAAGAGCATCTTGAGTGTTCACATGCTCACACCCCTCACTTAACCCAGCAATCCCAATGCACGAACAGCTGCCACCCATGCACCCTTGTATGCTGAGTGGGGGCAAGACAGCGGGGCTTGCCGACAAACGCCTGCCTGAGTATGCGTGCTTTGGGTTGGCACGAACATCTAGATTTCATCAACCTTGCAGCAGAGATAGACCCAGGGAGAGTGCAGGGTGGTTGTTTAGGTTGACGTGCCGTGTGCACTGTGCTCTGCTGTGGGCTTTTCACTTCATTTGGTTTGATAATTGCATGCCTTGTGGGTAAACTCACATTCGTATATGGCTCAGTAAGTATAAGTGCTCCAAAACTTGGATCATGGCATGACATGCATTTTACTGAGGCGTGGCATTGTCGCACCTGCTTGCAACCTTCAGTGTGTCATGTGTCGGCAGCATACTACACATGGTTGTATTCCACTTTGATTGACATCTGGGCAAATGTGCATCCAGCCTTTATCAACTAGGAGGTGTAGTATCTATGAACTTTATGCCTGGACTGGAAGCTAGAATAAGGAAATAACCGGCACCAAGAACGAAGTGCATCCTTACCAATTTGGCGACATAATGGACTGGACTTTAGTCTCCAGTCGGCGCTGTATTTTCCTGAATCAGCACTCCACTGACAGATCACCAGTTATCACATGCAACGTCAACGTGAGTGAGACAGTCCCGCTCACCGTTAAGGCCGTCCTTAGAAGACCCCAGAATAATTATTACAGACCATCGGACTCCTCAGCTTATCTCGGTAACGTGAAGCCATGTGAAATGTTGAGGGAGAGTGCGTGCGCACAAGCAGGCCAAATTTACATCGTAGCCATATCGAAGGGCAGATAGATAGGGTCCAGCTTTCTGATATGAAAATAAGGTTCACGAAAAACAAGGTTACTTCAAATATAGCGCGAATACATGAGAAGCTACGATGCGGGGCCTGCCTACGTCAGGGGTATCGCTTCTTATTAATCATCAACTCAAGCCTGGCGCCTCTATGAACGCTACGCTTCGAACGGCCGCTAACCACACGCTCATTGACGTCGCTAGGTCTTCACGCTGCCACGCTTCCGGAGTCACACTACGGCTTGAAGCCCTTCGACGCCTCCTCCGCGGTGGCCTTAGCGGACGCCAGGGTTGAGAGCACCTTCTTATCGTTAACGGGGTCAAGCATAACGGAGACGCCGTCGATGGTGGAAATCGCGTTGGCGATCTGCCCCTGCACGAGCGTGCGCTGGCCCTCGTCGATGAGAATGGCGGCGTTGGTGAGCGCCTGCACCGTCGCCGTGAGACTCGCGTAGTACTTGTGCTTCGTTCCCAGCGCGTCCGCCGCCTTCTGCACGCCGCCCCCAGCCGACTTGAGCAGCCCCTGGATCTTCTGGTCCGCCTTGCTCACCACCACCGGCGCGGACCCGCCAGTACCGGAGTTGGCGCCCTTCTTTCCGCCCTTCTTTCCGCCCGTAGCAGGCGCGGGCACGGGATCAGGGGTGGGCGTCGCAGGGGCGGTCCAGTTCTTGTGTCCGCCCTTCTTCCTGGGGGTGGTTGGCGGGGAAGTGGCGGGAGTGTCGGTACCCTTGTTTCCGCCCTTCTTTCCGGTCTTTCCGGTGGTGGTTGGCGGGGGGGAGGCGGAAGTGTCGCTACCGCTGCTTCCGCCCTTCTTCCCCTTCTTTCCGGTGGTGGTAGGCGGGGGAGAGGCGGAAGTGTCGCTGCTTCCGCCCTTCTTCCCCTTCTTCCCGGTGGTGGTAGGCGGGGGAGAGGCGGAAGTGTCGCTGCTTCCGCCCTTCTTCCCCTTCTTCCCGGTGGTGGTAGGCGGGGGAGAGGCGGGAACGTCGGAGCCCTTACCCTTCTTCCCCGACTTGGTAGGAGGCGCGGGGGAGTCGCTAGGCGTCTTAGACTTCTTGGGAGATTTAGAAGAAGTGGTCTCTTCCGCGGTCTTTCCGCCCTTCTTCGCGGGTGACGGGGTAGATCCCGACGAGGACGAGTCGCTCTTCTTCGACTTCTTGCTGCTAGAGTCGGAGGAGCTTGTATCGGAGGTGCTTTCATCGGAGCTCTTGGACTTGAGCACGCGGCCGTGGCTGATGTCCGAGTGGAATTCGTTTCCGGACGAGGCGTCGCCAACTGGAAAGACGAAACGTATAGAACGATTGGGTTAGCGAAAGTGGATGACTGGCGAAGTGGTTGCGAAATGCAGGCGTTGCATGTCCTATCCAAATACATTCGCCAGAGATAAGTAAGAAAGTGCGTGAGAGAGTGCATTTGAACGAGAGCGCTTGCATAATCTGAACAGCGGGCGTACCTTCAGTAGCAATCACAGTGCTCCCCGCATGCCACGGGGCTACCACAAACAGCACTCCGATCAGCGCACACACTGCCACAATGGGCAGGAGGAATTTGGGGGACGCCATTCTCCCGAAAATCAGATCCGAATTCGAACTGAGCTCAGTCTATAGAGTGAATTCGCTGGTCGGACGAGGCGAGGAGTGGAGTTGGGTACTCATTGATAAGGCAAGATGGTAAACTTATACCCTCCGCGTTACGCCATTTCCTGCACAATGAAGGGATACGTGGAAGACAGAAAGACCATCCGTCGGAGCGGCCGGGGCGGCCCAGGACAGATTTCCGAAATGCGGCACACTGGGTTATGCTTTGCGGCCCACTAAGCCGAGCCGCGTTCAGTGATGCAAATGCGTTTCGGATCGAGTATGTGGAGGAAAACCCGGGGAACTGGTTGAGAGTGGCTGAGCGGTCAGCCACGATGTTCGCGAAAGGTTGAAATGGAAAGGGTGAGCTGCTCGCTCATTGGCTCGTGTCTGCTCCTTTTTGGCGCAAATGAGGCAAATTCACTCCCTGAACAGTTCCGTTCAAACGGCATCACCTGACAGCACGGCGGTGTGAGCAACATGTTGTGTAGCTCGCCTTGTGGCAGAACACAACGTTCTAGATTCAATATAAGCAAAGGCCTAGGTCTGCTAACAACTTTCATTTTCATATATTCGCTACTTCCATGGAGAGAGAAGATCGCATCTGCGTGAGATGCCCTATTCTACGAGAGACTCTTCCTCACCAGGTTCCGAGCAGACCAGAAATCAGGAGCAGCAACAGTCTACGTGCACGGCGAATGCAGCTTCGCCACTCCAAAAGACCAGGCCGTAGCCTCAATCCTCAACCAGGATCTTCCTGCTGAGCATCCTGGTCCATACCCTCATCGTCATGGCAACGACGATGAAGCACCGCCTACCCCATCACGTGGGAGAGATCCTATACGACGCCCCTCACCTGCACCCCAAAGAGACGATGACGACGTGCAAGAAGTTACCATTGAGGCACGCCGCAGCACGACAGTATTCGGAGTTCACACCGCAACAACCACAGCCCCATGATGCATCAAGCCTAAAACATCAAGGCATGCCCCGACGTGGATGAAGCAAGTAGTAGCTCCACGCCAAACGAGGTCGTCTTCTGTGAGCTTGAAGACTAAATGGATGCTGCAGAAGAAAGGCGAGCGCAACGTTCAAGAACCATGCCGACACAGGCACCGGCATCAGCAACAGTACCAGCGGCAACAAGAGCTTCAACACTCTCAAGATAAAGCCGACAAACCCGCCCCCCTTCAACCCAAGTGACAATTTTGTCACTGTTTCCACGTGGTTGTTTGGAATAAAGGTGCTCTTTAATGCTGCGCAAATTGTCGATGACGTCGCCCACATTAACATTGCAGTTTCACTGTTACGAGGACATGCGTTGGAGTGGTGGCGACGCACGCTGCAATCGGAGGGGACTTCGGCAGGGACAACACGTGCGAACGACGTCACTTCAAAACCTATCACGTAATGAGCAGCATCGATCTTCGGAGTGGCCACGATACGCACATGGAAGGAGTGGGGCGCCGCCTTGCGAGCTAGGTTCAAGCATGTATCCGCCTCGGGTTCTACTCGCATGAAGCTGCGTGCCTGGAAGCAGCTGACTTCGGTACACGACTACACCAGCACATTCTGCAATTCGGCCGACCAAGTGGACGACACGAGCGACACGAGGCGGTTGGATCGCTACGTGGAAGGCCTCAAGTACGAGATACAATATATGTCCAAGTTATTCCCAGAGAAGCTTTCTCCGTTGTTTAAGTGCTGTACTCTGTCTTAGCCTGTGAAGAAAGCAGGTAATGTTGCGGTAACTTGAAAGTTCACCAGCTCGTCATGAGCTCTTCGGACCATTTACTTCAACATAAATGATGTGATATACCTGTCAAAATAATAGGCGAGAATCAGAAACAAGAAAAGAGAGGTTTCACTAGCAGACAGTTGAGTACAAATAACAAACCCTAATCTGGGATGTACTCGCTATAGAGTATCCCACTGCAGGCTAGACAAACATCACATTCTGACACACCCCCATAGTCAAAGTGGGGTATAATCAGCACAACAAGCAGGCAGAGCAATAGTTCACAATGATAAGCAAAGCTAGAGGCAGTCATAGAGGGCAAGTGAGGAGGAGGAGGGACTGTGAGAGGAGAGGAGATTGGAGGAGGCATCGGGCGAAGCCGCAGACACACGGGCAATAGGAACGGCGCGCACGGCGGCTACCGGAGCACTCAACCTCCGGACTACAGGAGTAACTGGCTCCGCACTAAGCTGCAGGAGCAACGGACCCACGGGCGGCTGGCGCAGCAGGCTCGCTGGGCTACCGGAGTACTCAACCCCCGGACTACTGGCGCTGCTGACGTCACAACGGCTACCTCCGGTCAACCTCCCCCAACTGTCCCACACCCCTTTCACACACCCCCTGCTGTACCCCTAGCACTGCTCACACGCCACCCCCCTAGTACCACTCCGACGGATCTCACACATCCACCCCCCTCAGCGGCAGCTGCAGCAGTGGGAGACGGAGGAGGAGGAGGAGGAGCAGGGGACGGCACACACCCTTCACCCCCATACTCGCCACCCCCACACTCGCCACCCCCAAACCCTAACACAGGCAGCAGCGGGGGGGGCGGTGCGTGGGCAGCAGCTCGGGGAAGGACGGCTCCTTAGGGCGCCTCGACGGGGCAGCGGAGTGGCCGCGCGCGGCGCTGTCTGAATGTGATGTTTGTCTAGCCTGCAGTGGGGTACTCTGTAGCGAGTACAGCCCAAATTAGGGTTTGCTATATGTACTCAACTGCCTGCTAGTGAAAAACCTTCTTTCCTATTTCTCGTTTAAGCCTACTGTTTTGACATGCTACCAGAGCAGGTCGACCCTCCTGGGTCGATCCTGTGGGTGGTCCCACCCGATGCTTCCGCTGCTGTTCTGCCTATCGCACGCTCTGCGTATGCGATGTTTGCTGCGTGCCGCGCGCTCAGGGCGCGCGGCGTTTTTTCTTCCTGCCCGTCGAACCGCGCGTCGTCCCCCGTCGCCCGTCGAGGCGCCCTCGGGGCCCCGCGCGTCGCCCCCCGTCGCCCGACGCGGCCCGCGCGACCTGCGCCAGGCCCGCGCGCGGCCCGTACGGGCTGCGCCAGGCCCGCGCGCGGCCCGGGCAGCCCGCGCGCGGTTCGTCCGGCCTGCGCCAGGCCCGTGCGCGGCCCGTACAGTCTGCCCCAGTGCCGCACGCCGTCCCCCGAGCTTCTGACCGCGCCCCACCCCCGCTGCTGCCCGCGCTCCTGTGTTAGGGTTTGGGGGTGGAGAGTATGGGGGTGGAGAGTATGGGGGTGCCGGGTGTGTGAGCCGTCCCCTGCTCCTCCTCCTCCTCCGTCTCCCACTGCTGCAGCTGCCGCTGAGGGGGGTGGATGTGTTGGAGCCGTCGGAGTGGTACGAGGGGGGTGGCGTGTGAGCAGTGCTAGAGGTACTCCAGGGGGTGTGTGAAAGGGGTGTGGGACAGTTGGGGGAGGAAAGTTGTGTGGAGGCAGCCGTCTTATCGTCCGCAGCGCCTGTAGTCCAGAGAGCCAGCTGCGTCTGTGGCCTGAGTAGTCCGGGGCTCTGCGCCTGGTAGCCACAGTGTGAGCACTCCTGGTAGTCCAGAGAGCCAGCTGCGTCTGTGGCCTGAGTAGTCCGGGTATAGCCTGGTAGCTACAGTGTGAGCACTCCTGGGAGCACAGAGAGCCAGCTGCGCCTGTCGCCTGAGTAGTCCGGGTATAGCCTGGTAGCGACAGTGCTGCGCACTCCTGTTGCCCGTGTGTCTGCAGCTTCAGCCGTCGCCTCCCATCTTCTTGCCTCCACTGTTTCTCCTCCTCACTTGCCCGCTGTGATAGTCTCTAGCTTTGCTTATCACTGTGACCTACTGCTCTTCTTGCTTGTTGTGTTGATTGTACCCCACTTTGACTATGGGGGTGTGTCAGAATGTGATGTTTGTCTAGCCTGCAGTGGGGTACTCTATAGCGAGTACAGCCCAAATTAGGGTTTGCTATATGTACTCAACTGCCTGCTAGTGAAAAACCTTCTTTCCTATTTCTCGTTTTAGCCTACTGTTTTGACAGGCGCCCTAGGGCGCCGCGACGGGGCAGCGGGGGGCCGCGCGCCGCTCCCGAGGGCATCGCGACGGGGCAGCGGGGGGCCGCGCGCGGCTCCCCAGGGCGTCGCGACGGGGCAGCGGGGTCGCGCGCGGCTCCCCAGGGCGTCGCGACGGGGTAGCGGGGGCGACGCGCGGGCCAGCGGGGCGACACGACGGGCTCCCAGGGGGGGCGACGCGACCGCCGACGGGGGAGGGGGGGGGTGGGGGGGGGACGCGCGGGTCGACGGGGAAGAAAACCGCCGCACGCCCCGAGAGTGCGGCGGGAAGAAAAAAAAGCACCGCGCGCCATGAGCGCACGGCAGGCAGCAGACATCGCGCGCTCAGGGCGTGCGATAGGCAGAACAGCAGCGGAAGCATCGGGCGGGACCACCCACAGGATCGACCCAAGAGGGTCGACCTGCTCTGATAGCATGTCAAAATAATAGGCGAGAATCAGAAACAAGAAAAGAGAGGTTTCACTTGTCAGAGGTCCACTGGTGATCCCCGATTGATCCTAGGGAAGGGTTACAGGCATGGCGGCCTGGGGGGTTATGGGCGCACTCACCCGCTACACAAACAAGCCCTTTTATCCCAGTGGTTAGTGGCTGGGATTCTGACATCACTAGCAGGCGGTTGAGTACAAATAGCAAACCCTAATCTGGGCTGTACTCGCTATAAAGTACCCCACTGCAGGCTAGACAAACATCACATTCTAACAATATAAGGTGCAGCGCACGCGACCACGCGAATTTAACTACGTCGTCCAGTTGGCCGAATCAACAGATGCAACGAGGCAGTGGGTGAGATCGAGCTCCCGGGAGGGCCTTCGATTTTATGGATCGAGCTCCCACGATCAACGGCATGGATGCTCCAAGCCGAACCATAGGGCCGTGCTTTGCATGCAACAAGCTGGGTCACATGAAGAGAGACTGCCCGAAGTTTAATAGG